GCAAGACCTTGCACTTACCCACATTGAACGTCATCCTGTTGTCTCCTGCCCACTTCCATAGTCTGTCCAGATCCTTTTGGAGCTGGACTACCTGCTCTTCAGTTGTAGCCACTGCTCCAGTTTTAGTGTCGTCTGTGAATTTGATCAGCAGACTGCTCACCCCTTCTTCCATGTCGTTAATGAAAAGATTAAACAGGATCGGCCCCAGGACAGAGCCCTGGGGGACCCCGCTTGTCACTGGCAGCCATCCCGATGATTCCCAGCTAATGATTACCTTCTGCTTTCGGTCAGTCAACCATGCCCTAATCCACAGGACAATGCTTTGGTGTATGCCAAAACTCCTCAGTTTCTCCAGCAGGATATCATGAGGCTCTTTGTCAAAGGCCTTGCTGAAATCCAGGTATACCACATCCACTGCATCCCCTCCATCTAGCCATCTTGAAACCTTGTCATAGAATTCCACAAGGTTTGCCTGGCAGGACCTGTTTCTGCGGAAGCCGAGTTGCGTGGCTTCACCCGTTCTCCACAAGGTCTCAAAAATTGAGGCCAGTGGGCCTGAGAGAACCCCTGCCAACTCTCTAAATACTCTCGGGTGTAACCCGTCAGGGCCTGGCGCCTTTGTAATGTCCAATGCCCTGAGGAGCCCCTCGACTTCAAGGGGGGTGACTCTAATCTGTGCCCCTAAGTCCCCAGCCTCATCTAATCTCCTATGCAGATATCCCCTGTCCTGCTTTGGGGAGAACACAGAGGCAAAATAGTCATTTAGCATCTGTGCCTCTTCCCTCATATCAGTCACTGGATCTCCTTCCTCCTTATTTAGTGGTCCCACCATTTGTCTCCCCTTCCTCTTCCTATTTACATGGTGGAAGAAGCCCTTTTTATTGCTCTTGATATTCTTGGCAAGTCTCAGCTCGTAATCAGCCTTAGCCTTGCAAAGAATCCTTCTGCAATGGCCTCCTCCCCCCCGGTATACCCTTTTGTCTATTTGCCCCAGTACCCATTTCCTACGGAGGTTCCTCTTTCGTCTAATCCCTCTAACCACCTCCTTTCGCATCCATGGCGGCACTCTCCTCCGCCTCCCCACCTTACTGACTAGAGGTATCGTCAAGGCTTGCGCCTCCAAAACCTCCCTTTTGAGTGCCATCCACCCCTCCTCAACTCGCTTACCTTCCAGTAACCTATCCCAGGAGACTTTCCCCAGTCTGGCCTTCAGTTGGCCAAAGCTGGCCCTCTTGAAGTCCCAGCTTCTAGTGCTCGACCTGCTGCACATCCCCTGATCTCAAAGCAAAGGATGGAGTGATCACTCGCATCCAGAGCTCCCCTAATCTGTACTTCATCTATCAGCTCCTTCCTACTGGTCAAGACCAAGTCAAGGATATTTCCCCCCCCTCATCGCCTCTCGGACCCTCTGTGTGAAAAACCCTCCCTCTATAGCTTCTAGGGAGCGACAATACCTGGCTGTCACTGCCAAGTGAGTCTCTCAAGTAGTATCTGGGAGATTGAAATCTCCCATAATTACTGTGTCTCTCCCCTGAAATATCCTTAGAATCTGGCCTGTCCGGACATCATCCAGGGTCTCAAGTTGACCTGGAGGGCGATAACATACCCCCCACTCTCAGATCTCTTTCCCTGTCAAAACCCCTAAGTTTCACCCAGACTGCCTCTACCAAATCCCCATCTGTGCTGCATTCTATCTCACTGCATCCTATCCCTTCCCTGACGTATAAAGCCACGCCCCCACCTCTCTTTCCCTTCCTGTCCTTTCTAAACAGATGATACCCTTCTATGTTCACATTCCAGACTTGCCTTTCATCCCACCAAGTTTCTGTGATTCCCACCAGATCATACCCTCCTATTCCCAGGAGAGCTTCAAGCTCTTCCTGCTTATGACCCGTGCTCCTAGCATTGGTGTACATGCAGCTCAGCTCCTTCCCACTGCTTCCCTTCCTTGGAGTCCCCAGCCTCCTCCTTCTTCCCATCCTCCCTGGTACCTGGCCCCTCTCTGTGGGAGTCCTGTCAGTCCCTGCAGTGCCTCTAATACCCTGCTCCCAGAGCCCTGATCCTCCCCCCACACTTGTCCAGTGCAGACACGTTACTGGGGGGCCTGAACCCCCCCCCCCGACTCAGTTTAAAGTCTTCCGGACGAAGCTTGCTAGAGCATCTCCAAAGGACCTTTTCCCCATCCTCGTGAGGTGTAACCTGTCCCTTGCCAGAAGTCCATTGGCAAGAAAACGAGTGCCGTGGTCGAGGAACCCGAACCGTTCCTTCTGGCACCACACCCTAAGCCAGTTGTTCACCTTGGAGGCCCTCCTGTCCCTTCCTGGCCCAAATCCCCGGACAGGTAAGATTGACAAGAAGGCCACTTGGGCCTTCAGCTCCCTGAGTTTCTTCCCCAAGGCCTCGAAGTCCCTGGTGGTCCCAACCACACCCTGCCTGGCCATGTCGTTTGTGCCCACATGGATCACCAGGAGCGGCTGGTGACCCTCGGAGCAAACAAGGCGCTCCACTCTGTCCTTCACATGCTGGATGTGTGTGCCCGGCAGGCAGCAAACCCCCCTTGTCTCCAGGTTGGGGCGGCACACTGCCACCTCAGTGCCCCTCAGCAGGGAGTCCCCAACAACAATCATCTGCCGCCATACCTTCCTGCTGGTGGGCAGCCGTGCCCTGGCTCTTGCCTCTCCTGCAGTGGCCCCCTTGCCACTTGTGGTCCCAGGCTGGGGGTCCTGCTGGTCCCCCGAGGCCTCATCAGCCCCAGCCTCCCCAAGTGGAGAGAACCTGTTTCCCAGCTCCAGATTGGTGCCAGGAGAAGGAGGTGGCCGTGTTGTTGTATATCATCAAGTCATCTCTGATTTATGGTGACCCTATGAATGAAAGCCCCCCAGAATGTCCTATCCATGCCAGCCCTGCTTTGCTCCCATAAATTCAAGACTGTGGCTTCCTTTGTGAAGTCAATTTTTCTCATACTGGTTCTTTTTCTTCTTCTGCATTCAACTTTCCCTGGCATGATGATCTTCCCCTGTGAGTCTTGCCTTCTCATGATTTACCCAAACTACGGCAGCTTCAGTTTTGTCATTTTTGCTTCTAGGAAAAGTTCTGGCTTGATTTGATCTAGGACCCACTTGCTCATCTTTCTGTTGGTCCAGGGTATTCACAAAGCTCTTCTCCAGTATCATGTTTCAAATGCATCAATTTTCTTCCTATCAGCTTTCTTTTATGTAGTTGTTATTTTTGTTTTCTCAATATTCTCAATAGTTTTCTCAGCTACAGTTATGGTTTTGCATTTTTTCTTGGAAAAGAAGAAAAGGTGAATTTGTGGAACAAGCCCACTAATATAGCCAATATAGCACCAATGGATAAAATCAAACTGAATGTGGATCCAACCAACCAGTTAGCTTAACAACTGTTCCTGGGTAAATTGGCAGAAAGCATTATTAAGGATAACATTAGCAAGTGCATGGATGAACAAGCCTTGTTTTGAAGAAAAAGCAACATGGTTTTTACTAAAGTCAGTACCTTTTAGGTCCCTTCCAGGTTAGGGTGAGGTGATATAGGCAATGGCTGCCTCCACATAGAACAGTGAACCAGAATTCCAGAGAATCCCAACTTACCAGGAACAAGCTATATGTGTGTGAATGCATCCTTTCTGCCTCACATTCCTTTAATATAACTGAATAAACTAACCAGGAATTGGAAGCTTAGTATGCCATCTAAACCCAGGATCTTGGCTTCTTGCTCCCATTCAAGTCAAAGTTCCTAAAACAAGAACAAACACTGTTTTGTGATTCTGGCTTGCAAAGGAAGCAACATGCACAAATCTCAGGTATGGACAACATGCTACACTCCCAATTCCTGCCACTTTACCCTCGAAGAGCTATACTGGAACTTGTGCTTTTTCAACTTGCTCATTAGTGATCTAGAGTTGGGAGTAAACAATGAGCTGGGCAAGTTTACTGAGGACACCAAATTACTCAGGATAATAAAAGCAAAGACCAATTCAAGGATCTCTCAGAACTAGATCAGTGAGCAATACCATGGCAAATACAGATTAACATAAGCATAAAGTCGTGCAGATTTAGTACAAAAGTCCAACAAAAACCACATTGGGGAGATTAGAAAAAGAGCTCAACACAAATTGCCAAGATTATGCTGTCCTTATACAAATCTAAGGCACAACTCCAACTTAACTGGTTCATTGTTGGATCCTGTGCACCAAAATAAGGATTTTGCAGAGTTGGCAAAGTGCAGAAAGAGGCAACCAGAGCGACTGCAGGCCTGGAGCAACTCCCTTATCAGAAAAACACCCGAGACTGTTTAACGTAGAAAAAAAGACAAGCAAGTGGGGGAGACATGGCCGTGGTGCACAAAATTATACTGGGGTGGAGAGAGTGGACAGGGAGACATTTTCCTTCCTCTCTCCTAATGCGAGAGTCTATTCCAGGAGTAAGGCAGGCAGGGAAGGGCGACCCGGGGCCTGATCTGGCTGAACTTCCGCGTCCCTGCCCGCTGCCAGCAACAGCCCCGGAGGAAGGTTCTGGTGCCTCGTTCTTCGCTGGCGCTGTTTATCGCGCGTTTAGGAACGTGCCTGGATGCTATTTGCAAACCACCTGGGAAAAGGCTGCATCCAGACAGCCAAGACAAATTACTGCAAGCGGGCAAGAGGGAAGCAGGATGAGGGACAAGGCAGACTTTGGCCTGATCCAGAACATCAGCTCTTATGGAGTGGGGCGGACACAGGACAGAGAGTGTCAACATATGGGAAGTTATGGAGAGACATCAGAGGAAGGAAGGAGTTAATGAGACAGCAAAATCCTGAACGATCTTAAGATGCAGAAGAAGCGCCTCTGGAAATGCCGAAATAATGAGCAGATGCGAATAATGTGAGCAAAGCAAGCCGAGAGACCTCATCGAGGAATGCAGGGACGTGGGGAGCACGCGCATGGCACAGCGACACGAGCTCGACGTCACATGCCCCGGACAGCCGCGGCTCTCTCGTTACTCACCGCTGCCCGTGCAGCTCCACACCAGTCCACTGCAACCGCCCGCCCGTCCCCCTCAGCCGGTGGCGCGGCGCCTTCTTCCTCACCCGGCGGCCTGCAGTCCCGCCCGCCTCCCCAGCATTGGTCGCCTCCACCTCTCCCCGGGTTCCCATTAGCTACCTCCGGGAACGCCCCGTTCCGCCTTCCCCTGCGGCCCCGCCTCTTCCCTCCCCCACCCCTCCTGTCACTCACCCTCCGTTTCAAGCCTGGCGCCTTAACGCCGCACGCTCTGCCCACCTCGCCGACTCACGCTTCTCCCACTGCTCCAATAAGAGAAGGCGCATCTGCCAGTGGCTTCACGCGTAAGTTCAGCTCCTCGGAGAGGAGGAGCCAATAAGAAGAATTGGCCTTCTTATTGGCCAATTTTCCTCGCGGCGAGGGTCTTATGAAACCCCTGCGCGGCCTCATCGCTCCCTCGGCGGCCCGGTCCCGCTCAGCCCCGCCTCTCGCGAGCGCCCCCTCCGCTCGGAACCCTGCGAGCTGCGGCGCAGGGGGCCGGCGAGGGGCTGCCCGCCTCTGCTGCGCGGCCCGGGAGGCGGCCCTGCGGCGCCGCTTCCCCACGAAGGAGCTCGCCGCGGTCCGGGCCGCCTCTCTGTGGCCGGCCGGGGGAGCGCAGCCCCTCTGCCTCGGCGTTGCTGCGGATGATACTGGCGCGGGGAGGCGCCCGATGTCCCCGCGAGGAAGCGGCGGCGGCGGCCCTTCCGGCTCTCAGGGCAGTCCTGCAGCCGCTTGGCCGGCGGAGCGTCCCGCACGTGTCGCGTTCTTCTCGGGCTGGAGGCGCTTTGGGAAAGGGGGCCGCTGGCACTGCTAGCGCTGGTGCAAGGCGCGCCTGGAGCACGCAGGACCTCGCCCGTGCGCGACGCATCCTCTGTGCCCCGAGCTGCCGCTGCGGAAAAGGCTGCGTGAGGCACCGCTGCGTAGTGTACCGGTCAGAGTGCCATACCTGGAGTGGGGAGACGGGGCTGTCTCTTCTCAGCTGCAAGGTTCCCGAGCAACCTTGTGCCAGGCAGTCTCTCAGACCAGCCTTCATCACAGGGTTGTTGTGAGCTCGTGACTGGGGCAGAACAACTCTGAGTTTCTTGGGTTTAGGGCAGCCTGAGCTCCAAGTGTGAACGCTTAAAGGACATATAGGAAATACATTGGCCAGGAGTAGTAGCTGGCTAGTATTATAAACAAACCAAGGAGGAAGTGGTTGGTATGCATAGCTGTGAACCGCCCAGAGAGTTTCAGTCACTGGGTGGTATGAAAATAAAATTAGTAATTTTGTACAAAGTGCTTTCCATGCATCCAATTTGAAAGTCAGAAACAAAATGTTCTCTCGGCAGAAAATGGCATCCTTCCCATCCTTCAAATGAGAGCCAGAGGTGCAAACCATTCTTCCCTGAACATCCAGAATGACTCAGACTTCTAAATACATCACCTTGGGCATGATGAAGGAGGCAGGACTCACAGTTCATGGCAAGGGAGCAGCTATGCAGGATCCTGCTGGTGTGTGTCTCACAACAACCACTACCGTGTAATCACAAAGACCCACACAGAGCCGCACTCTTCACTGCATCTGCTCCCCCATTCCTTGCAATTTTGACTCAAGCTGTGCAATCCATTCTTCCCTTCAGGGCTCAAAGTCCTACTGTTTCCAACCAGCTGACATGCTGAGGAGTGATACATCCTGCCCAGCCTCCACTTTCACTGGGTTCTTCTTTAGTCCTGGGACACTGGCTGCTGAGAATCTAGTGTAGCCCCTTTTGTCATAGCCCGTCCTTATTTTCATGAGCAGGAAGCTTTTGATGACGGATCAGTATTTATTGATACTGTGTTTTCCTGTTTGTCTGGGCAGCTGGTTGTGTTAATGAAATGTGAACAAGAAGCTCATAAAGGTCAGAAGTAGCCTCCTGGCTCAAATCCTCTGAGGAGCCCTAACAGTTCTGTGCTTTGTCAGAGGCACAAGTGGGAGGCTGAAAAGTTGAGCCTGTCTCTATGAACACAGAACATGCTGGAGCCTTGGTGAAAGTAGCTCCCCTGCCAAAGGTACACCTTGCTGGTCAGGCTGCAGTTTTTTCTGCTATTTCCAAGGAGAGATGCTTTCAGCTTAGCCTTGTCCTGCCTCTAGAACTGTCACAGACCTTTTTTTTTTTTTTTTACATCCAGTGGTTGCCCTTTCTTTGCACATTTAGCCCCATCCTTTGACATCTCCAGCAGCTGCAGATAGTAGGCAAGCCCTCCAAGCATGTGGCAAAATCAAGCTCCATGATTCCTAGGAGGAAGTGGAGGTCGTCTGGGCCTTGTGTTTCTACTTCCTTCCCAGTGTGCTTCAGCTCTGCCTCTGACTTTGAGCCAGGTGATCCTCCTGGCACCGGGCACTTTTTGAAACTTCAGCTGTGTGCTAAACATCAGAGTACTTCCTACACTGGTTTGGTATTCAGAATTAAGTACTGGGCAACTGCAATCGCAGGCTAGATGAGGAGGAACAATGGCAGCTGACCTTCCCCCATCCCTGCTGCCTTCCTCCCTGCCAGCTGCCAGCATTAGCCATTCTTCTGCTCTTTGCCCCGGACAGTGATTGTTACAGGCCAATGTTGACCTTTGTCATACACAAATATGATGAGGAATGGGGCAGTTGGAATAGCAGCAGATAAGATAAGTGGGCTGCCTAGATTTCTGCTCTGTGACAAGGAACTCCTCCTTCCACAAGGGTGAATCGCCCTGCAAAAGGGGAAGGAAAAGGCACACACCCAGCACAAGTGCTTGCGGCAGGCTATCAGCTCTGCCAGGCTGGAGCTGCTGCCTTCCCCAGGATCTTCCACAGCCATGACCAACAGCAAGCGATTCCAGAGGGCCTGCTCCTTGAGGGTGCCCAAGTCCCCCAGCCTCTTGGACCCTTCTGCCTCTGATCTCCTGGAGGAGGTTGACCTTCCTTGGAGATCTGGGGATGCAGCCTCAGGGGGAAGCAGCCTCATGCCCAGGAAGGAGGAAGCCCAGCAGAAGGCTGTCTGGAGCAAAGTAAGCCGGGGCAGGAGAGCAGCGAGCCTCAGGCTGCAAAAGGTCGGGAGAGAAGAATCGGTGAGGATGGGAGAAGCAGCCCACTCCATGGGTCCTGGTGATGGAGAGCTGCTCATTGGAGAGGCCAGCCATAAAGCCAATAGCAGAATGATAGCATGTAAAAAGGTAAGAGCAGGATGACCCAAAGTTAGAATAGAAGTCCCCGGACTTCTAAATCTGCTTGGTTATAAGGGCAGGGAGGGAGCAGCCTGGCCTGCTTTGGGGCCTTTAACCAGTAACTTGATATGCAAAAATTAGTGCGGAAGCTTTTCATGGTATAGAGAAAAACTACTTGCCCTCTGCCCTTCCCTGACACCGTCCACTGGCAGAATGGACCAAAATTTGGCCAGACAAACCTTGTGGAATTCTATGACAAGGTTTCAAGATGGCTGGATGGAGGGGATGCAGTGGATGTGGTTTACCTGGATTTCAGCAAGGCCTTTGACAAAGTGCCCCATGATATCCTGGTGGAGAGACTGAGGAGTTTTGGGATACACCAAAGCACTGTCCGGTGGATTAGGGCATGGTTGACTGACCAAAAGCAGAGGGTAACCATTAGTGGGGAATCATCGGGATGGCGGCCAGTGGCAAGTGGGGTCCCCCAGGGCTCTGTCATGGGGCCGATCCTGTTTAATCTTTTCATCAATGACATGGTGAACAGTCTGCTGATCAAATTCGCAGATGACACTAAAACTGGAGCAGTGGCCACAACTGAGGAGCAGGTACTCCAGATCCAAAAGGATCTGGACAGACTATGGAAGTGGGCAGGAGACAACAAGATGGCGTTCAATGTGGATGAGTGCAAGGTCTTGCACTTGGGGCATAGGAATAGGTGTCATAAGTACAGGTTAGGTGACAAGTGGCTGGAGAGCAGCACTTGTGAAAGGGACCTCAGGGTGCTGGTTGACTGCAGGCTAAACATGAGTCAGCAGTGTGATGCGAAGACCAAGAGGGCGAATGCCACCCTTGGTTGCATAGCCAGAAGTGTGGCTTCTAGATCAAGAGAGGTATTACTACCACTCTACACAACTCTGGTGCGCCCGCAACTGGAGTATTGCACTCAGTTTTGGGCCCCTCATTACAGAAAGGATATAGCCAGGTTAGAGTCAGTGCAGCAAAGGGCCACAAGGTTGGTGGCCGGTTTGCAGGGGATGCCATATGAGGCAAGACTGAGGGAACTGGGTCTCTTCAGCCTGGAGAAGAGACTCAGAGGGGATCTGTTGGCGACATACAGGTATGTAAGGGGGTGTCACACGGAGGTGGGGAGAGACCTGTTCTCCCCTGCAGAGGAAGGCAGAATGCGCTCCAACAGAGCAAAGCTCAGGGAGCCAAGGTTCCATTTAGATGCCAGGAAGCACTTGCTGACAGTCAGGACCCCGAGGGTGTGGAATGGGCTTCCATGGGAGGTGGATGAGGCCCCATCAGTGAGGGTGTTCAAAGATAGGCTGGACATGCACATGGTGGGCATGTCGTGAGCGGAGCTAATGGTTTAGGTCAGGCCTGGGAACTTCAAGACAGTGGTGCCCCTCTTCAGCCCACAGTGGTCCTCCTTCCAGCCCAGGACACAGTCTTCCGCCCCAGTGTATGCTGATCCTGGGACAGAGTGGCAGTCACATGGGAGGCTTGCCGCTGATTGTGGGTGTGTTGGTGTGGATCTACAGTGATTTCATGCAGAGCACAAGAGTTTAAGCCGGTTGCTGACTCTTTCTAGAAATCTTACAGAGCTCCTGCTTTCTCCAGCTCATCACAGCTTGGCCCCACCACTAAAGAGGATTTTTTGTGTTCTGCCTGTACAAATCTTCCAGTTAAGCCCACAGTTTACGTCTGTGTATTTGGTACAAGAACATAAGAAAAGCCATGCTGGGTCAGACCAGGGGTGCATCTAGTCCACAGACACAGTGGTCTGTGCAAGACCTCCCCCTGCCCAGCTCCACGGCAACTGGTGCATGCAGGCCTGCCAGCTCTGGCTAAGGAGGCAGCACAGAAAC